TGAGGTAAGTTTTGTAATTTGCAAGTAAAGAGATTATCAAAATTTTCATTGGTTTATGAAATCAGTTTTTCAACTATAAACTTGTGATTTGAAAAGAGGCACGAGGTATGTTTGTTTTCAAGCACTGATCTCTCTGTTTTCCCCTTGGAACTAATTTCAGGAAGCCATGGCGAAAGATATATTAGATCGAACTACAGAATCTGGTGTGAACTTGAAAGCATATCTGGCTGATGCATATTTGCACCCAATTTTCCGGTCATTTGAGGAAGAAGAATTGGTTGAGGTCAAGGTAGAAGAGAAAAACCGCAAACTACTAGTGATCGAACCAGTGAACTCAGCTCCCCCTCTCCACCACATCAAGTCAATCATCCTTCATCCCCACCACATTATGTCTATCATCCTTCTTCTCCACCTCACCATGTCTATGAACCTTCCTCTCCATCCCATTATGCGTATCATTACGAAAATGATATCTATCATCCTCCCTCCCCACCCCATTACGCCTATCATTACGAAAATGAGCCTTGATATCATGGAGGTACTAATCTACAAGATCAATTGCTGACCATTTTTTTTTTAAAAAAAAATTCCTAATTTCTAGTGCTCATTTAGATTGTTTAGCTTTCTTTCAGATTGTAATTGTTGGTTTGTCAATGTAATCACTCCCGGCTAAAATATGATTGGAATTTCCTCGTTGTTATATATTTGACTTTGAGAAATTTCATAGCCATCCTAAATTTTATTTCTTGTTATTTTTTGTAAATTTGTTCTTGTGGAAAGAAAACCTTGTGTTCTAGCATGTGTGATTGTTCGGTTGTAAACGATTCTGTGCGGCAATGGCCAAGAGTTGAGCGAGACTTGGGGGCCTACGTTTAGTTCCTCTGCGCCAAACTATCATGTACGTACGTGCGCCATAATATACTCAAATAGTTCTTCGGACTTCAGAGGCCTAGAACGAACATAGTACTTGAAAAAATCTGTTAAGCAAGTTTCAGTTGTCTAAACACACTGGTTGCATTGCTTATTTCTTTATATGTTGTCTGGTCTGTTTATGACCAATGCCAAGGTTCAGTTTGATAATTTAAGGTTGCTAGAGCATACAGCCTACCAGTTCAAGGGGAAAAAAACAAAAAATCAAAGAGGAAATTCAAATTCAAAGTCTGGATTTCTGCCCCAAACTATCCTAGAGAGTGGAAATTCAGGGATTTATTTTGAATTCAAAAATTTCCATTTCTTTACCATATCATTTATCAACAGACGTTTATTTTTGGCATTAATCTGATATCCCTTCAGTTCCGACATATTTGTCAGGTTGCACCTTATAAGAAGGTGAGGAAGGTGATCTTTACGCAATCAATCCCAAAGTCTGCAGCTGGAAAGATACTCAGGACGAAACTCAGTTCCGACATAAATTTTTCTGTTTTCCTCTTCCTAGGCTGCAAATTGAGTAGTTTTTCGGTCTGGGACAGAAGGCTTTGTTAAGTTGCATATGAGCTGCCCATGGAAATTTTGCAATTTGTTTTCTGTAGTTAGAAATCAAGTTCTTTATAATTTATTGTTTGAATTCTTCAATAATTGAGGGATTAATATTAACAATAGGAATTGAATTGAATTTTGACTTTCTTTGTTCTCTTAGTCATTCTAGCTTCTTTGATTTTCAGAATTTCAATCTGTGAAATTGTTATATATACAGGGATATGGCCTGACTGAGTCACGGCTGTAGGAACCCCTGGCTTCAACACCAAAACTTTCAAAAATATTCTTCCATTGGACTTTTGGCTCCAAATACCGAAGGCAAAGTGGTGGATTATATTACTGGTACTTTACTGCCTCCTGGAGAAAGTGGTGAGCTTTGGGTACGGGGACCTGGAGTTATGAAAGGTGATAAATTTTATACCCTTTTTAATTGCTTGAAGTGCTCGCAATACTGGAAATGCTCATAGTTATATGTAATATCACTGGAATCACAAATTAAATATTGCTTGCTCTTTATTCTCAGCACCAGCCCTCAGTTAGTTTGATTTTTTGTTGCTCATTTGGGCTCATTGTTTTCATCTTAGAGCCCAAGAGGCATCTGTCTTTATTGCTAGTGCTAGAAGGTTTCATGGTTTACTCCTCTATGGGCATTTTGTTATATTGTTTTGCTGCTTAGGATCTTTGATGACCTCATCTTTCATATTGGGCTGGGCAAAGCAAATATTTGTATTTCTATTCATTTCTGAAAGCCAAATGGTTACAATCTTTGAATCTGCACCCAAGTTGTTTATCTTTTCTTTTTGTTTAGAAAGGAAAATAGTTCATTAAGAACCTTGTCCAATGAACTTTCAATTAAAAGTATCCTATGCTACAACAGTTTTTTCATGCAGGTGTTGTCTTTTGGTAATGCAAATATCCCGTAAATTTTAATTTGTGTCCATGGAATCATCTTAAACAGTTCAGCAACCTCTTGTTTTGCCCCACAGTCTCCCCCTCCCCCCAACCCAAAAAAGGACCTCCTGCTGCCATCACCTAGCTGTTCCTCCCAATTTTATTGCAAAACAAACTAAGTGTGGTATTTTTCTCTTTTAATTGTTCCTCTGAATGTTCTTAATTAATTTGGTTACTTCCCCTCAAATTTCCAGAGTACTTAAATGATAGAGTGGCAGCTGCATCGACCATTGACAAGGATGTTGTTTATATTGATCATGATGGGTTTTTTATATGTAGTTGAACGCTTGAAAGAGATTATCAAGTACAAGGGTTTTCTGGTATAGATTACTACTCTGAATTATACAACTTCCTTACAAAACTATTTATTTGAAATTGCAATTTAATAGAAGTGCTGGCCTTTGTATGGACTTTGGTATGATAATAAATGACAAAGTGCTGGCCTTTGTATGGACTTTGATCATGTGAACAATCGCAGTTTGTATTCAATTTATTTTTACATTATTTTGTTGTGAAAAATGCAATCGACTTTCACAGCGTAAGAGCAGCTGTATATGGATTATACTAATATCTAAGTAGTGTTTTGAACTAAATAAATGTTGATAGACAATTTGAAATGATTGTGGTTTTGTTGGTTTGTATGTGACAACTTTGTCCCTTCTGCAGATTGCTCCTGCTGCGTTAGAGGCTTTATTGATTTCCCATCGTGAGATACTTGATGCTGCTGTAATACCATAAGTAGAGATAAGTGTTCTCCAATAATTTATAGGTAAAACAGCTGACATATTTAACATTTAAACATCAACAAAATCGTTTATGGTCAGTCTTGAAACATAGTTACAGCGTCAGATTGTTGATATCCGAAGAGAAATGTTATACTATATATTATCAATGGTACCCCTCATTAATCATTATCAGTTTATCACAGTCTCTACATGTCCCATGATTGCTTCGCTTGAATTTCAGCAACTATGAATATGACCATTTCATCATGATTTTCCAGTGCCATCGGTAAAGAATGCCAGGAGATACCAGTAGCATTTGTAGTCAAGAGGCAGGGAAGCATGCTAACACAGGAAGCTATTATCGGCTATATATGTGGCAGAGAAGGTAGTTTTCTCTGACCTAATGGAGTTCTTTGAACTCGTGCACAAATAACTTTTAACAGTTTACCCACATCTCACGAACATGGTTCACAAGTGATAACGAAACCTGAGCTGTGTGTGCTGGGATTTTGGCTCTGTCCATGGTGGTGACAAACACTAAAGGTTAAAACCTTTTCTAGTCAGGTTGCACCTTATAAGAAGGTGAGGAAGGTGATCTTTACGCAATCAATCCCAAAGTCTGCAGCTGGAAAGATGCTCAGGACGAAACTCAAGAACTACTTGACTTCCAGGCTGTAATGTGTCTTCTTCACGCAAGTTTTGGTGTAGCATTGGGAAAAATGATGTCTCAACTTTTGGTCATAGGAATTAGAAAGATTAAGAATCCACTTGGCGTAACTTTTGTAAATTGGATTGAGTTGTTTTTTAACTTTAAACGAAGAAAAATCATAGGCGTACTTGGTTAGACATAATCCTTGTCTTGAATCAGAAAGTTGTATGTAAATTTTCGTCAAAATTTTAGCTTATTGGTTCTAACTCACAACATTTATATCCTTCAAAATTATAATGATAAAATGCTTTTAGTTAGTTCTTGTCAAATTTACTTCTAATTTGAATTATTTTTGTCATAAATTTATGAAAAATAACTTTTCAAATATGACTCAAATCTAAAACTAATTATTTATAGGTCACATCAAATAAACTATAATTCTTTTCAGCTTAAGACACAAAATGAGGAGTGAACTTTCCCATTTTTTTTTCCCCTTGAATTTGCAGCTCAGCTTTAAAATTACTCTCTTTCTGGTGTCTTCTTTTTCACTTGTATTGAGCAAGACTCTCATTGCCCTGAAATAACTGGCAAGGAAGAGGAAAAATCCAAGTGATTTTGCTAAATGATTTTGCTAGTAAGAAAAAAAAAAAAGGCTGGAGAGTTAATCGAGAGAAGGAAAATGCTTGGAAGGTTCCTTCAAACCGTCCTTGTTAATTAAGAAGTCGACTCTACCCTACACCATTTGTTTTTATTGATCGCACAGTTTCCATGCTCTAAAAATCTTAAACAATCCAATGCCGGTTAATTTCTCTAATAATGCATGCAATAAACTTTTCCATTCAAGAATTGTCAAGCTATTACTGGTATAGAAACCTTGCTTCCCTGATAATTAATTAATTATAATCATGGATATATTCTGATTGTGCATTAATTCTTTGACTTTGAAGTTAGAATAATTTTACCGTAGCCCTCTTAAACAATTATCCAATAGACTCCACCTTTGAAAAATTCCCGGGAAAAACCGGTAGTATCTGTTACAAGAAGTGCAGAGCCAATCTCATCTTCTTAGAAACCAACCTTACTTTATGTCCATACAAAAACGTTTGGACCCCTCCACGAAATTTTTTTTTAAAAAGAGTTTGAAATTGTTCCTTCTCTCTTTTTCGACTCTCCTTCACTTCCTTCCTTGTACTCTTCCTATGGCTACTTCTTTAGCGACTCAAACTGTACAACTCTGTCACTACCACTCAAAACAATTTTCTTTCAAATCACAGTCACCTGTCAATAGGAAGATCCATACAAGAACATCAATTGGTGTTTTCAATGGCTTCCAAAATGTATATACCCAACCTTATTTGCATAAGCCTTCGGTTCTCGAGCCTAATTCAAGGTTCTTGCAAATGGATCCTCAAGAAGCCTGCTCTAGTCGAGGGGTTTCGGTGCAATCTATGAGCTCAGAAGGGAGTACTAGTTCTCCAACTATTTCTCAAAAGGTTAGTGTTGTTCTTTTTAATTCGCTGTCTTTTTATTTTATTTTGATGCTTTCTTTCTGGATGATTTCTGCCAATTGGTGTTGAGTTCTTGCAATTAATTGAGTTGATGTAACTACATGATTGCTTCCTTTTTATAACGATTGTATTAGGTGATTGGGATTTTGCATTTGCTTCTTTCACTTGGGATTATTCTTGCAATGGATAAGTTGTTGAAAAAGGCATTTGTGGCTGCTGCTATTAAGTTCCCAAGTGCACTATTTGGCATGTTTTGCATATTCTCAGTTTTAGTCATTCTTGATATTACCATTCCGGCTGCTGCTACAAGCTTGATGAACTTCTTCGAGCCAGCACTATTGTTCATTCAGAGATGGCTTCCATTGTTCTACGTTCCATCATTGGTTATTTTGCCTCTTTCTGTTAAAGACATCCCTGCTGCATCAGGCGTCAAGATTTGCTTCATCACAGGTAAAATGAAGCTTTTTGTTGATTCACTGCTTCACTTTTGAAATCCTGTAATATAATTGACCTACTCTTCACTCTGCCTTCGTGAGCATTGCAAATTACTAATGTTGTTAGTTGAAATCATAGAAATGATTGCAAGCTCAAAAGCCAGAAAAACTTAATGTCCTCCTTCATTCTCCTTATGCTTCAAGTTATGTGCTGTCATTTTTCATTATTAATATGTCTGATCCAATGGTTACCAGTTTTTAGATTCATTTTGGTTATTATTCATATGCCATCAGCCAGTATTCCCATGTGGACTTCCATTTCGGTGGGATCATATTCCAATTTGTGTCTTGTAATAACAAAAACAATATAAATACTTTCTAATAACTGCAGCTGGAGGTTGGCTGGCTTCACTTTGTGTGGCGGGTTTTACAGCTATTGCTGTGAGAAAAATGGTGAAGACAGAAATGACTGATGCTGAGCCTATGGCAAAACCGTCTCCTTTTTCTCCAGTAGAAGTTTGGGCTTGGAGTGGGGTCTTCCTTGTATCATTTGTTGCTGCATTATTCTATAGAACGGCATTGGGGACTGCTGCCAGAACATGCCTTCCTTTCCTACTAGCATCCACCGTGCTAGGCTATATGGTTGGTTCTGGGTAAAATCAGTTTCCTCAGATTAGCAGCATCTATGTTCACAAGTTTTTTTTTTTTTTTTTTTTTTCAGACCAAATTAAGGAGGAAAGAAATTTTGCATACATTCATTATAATTGTAGCTCAGTTAAAAAAATATGGTTGTTTTACTTTTCTGGTTTTCAGGCTACCATCTGGTGTGAAGAAGGTTTTCCATCCCATTATTTGTTGTGCACTATCTGCAGATTTGGCAGCGCTGGCCTTTGGGTACCTTTCCCAATCTGGACTTGATCCCGTTCTAGGTACTACTTTTAAAGTGTTTGGTGTCTTCATATAGTTAAGTTTATTTTCTGTTTTGGAGCAACAGCAAAAGAAAAAAATACAGAAATCTATTACAAGTGACAAAAATTGCTCGAACAAAGTGCTTGTATAATTTTGACCCACAAGCCATCTCTTGCTTTTCCTTTCTATCTTATGTGTTAGTTTTCTATAGTGTGTTATATTTTCGATTGTTACATATACAGTTGTAGAGGACAAAACCTAGAGGGGCCATTAGGCATTCCTCATCAACAAAGTTAGATATCATAGGCTTTAAGCAAGATGGAGTGCCCTCGAACATTTTATTTATTTTCATTAATGATAAAAGATGGTGATTTATGATCTAACAATGGGCATTTCTAATTTCAAAACTGAAGGTAACTGAGATATAGTTTCACAAATATTTTGGACAACAAATTCTTAAATTTCAGGGACAGGAATCTTGATTCTTGAAGTTCAAAAGCTGTTTCTATCTAGTTAATGGTGGAATTCAAATCACATAGCACACGAGGATTAAAAACTTAGACGAGAACTCCCTCTTTTTTGCACTGTCCTTTTCTGGTAATTTTTTTCATCAAATTTCACCACGCTTAGTTATGGTAATTTTCTTCCAACGCACACAGGATATTACCTTACAAAAATTTCATCTAATCCTGGAGCTGGCGATGTGTTAATGGGATTCTTGGGATCTGTCATTCTTTCCTTTGCCTTCTCAATGTTCAAGCAGAGAAAGGTAACTTCTATTATCACAATCCATGCCAACAGGTTGTGTTCATTCTGTATTAAGTGGACATGCTTTAAATGGCTGTTAATTAGGAAGGAGTAGTGTTTCTTTTTGTATAATCGTAACTACTACTTTGGTGTTGCCAACCAAACTATCTGCTTTTTTTTTTTTTTTTCATTTGATAATGGAAGAAAATGTGTTTGAAATTCAGAGTAGAGGATAAGCAATGAAAAACCTCAAGATATCTGAACCTAGCTAGAATTTTGGAATCTAGTATATTGTATCTACCTTTATATGAATCTGTCCTCTAGATAGTATGCTATATACACTTTGCCACACTACTGTATGTCGTTTTTGATTTAGAATAATAAAAATTTAACATCAGATGATGCTCTAACTTGCTCGTCCTTTGTCATGGCGAAGTGATTTTGTATACTCTGGTGCTTTTGCAGCTTGTTAAGAGACATGCGGCTGAGATTTTCACGTCTGTCATCGTTGCAACATTATTTTCGTTGTATTCAACTGCTCTTGCAGGGCGTCTTCTTGAGTTAGAACCAACATTGACTGTATCTATTCTTCCCAGATGCATAACTGTGGCATTAGCTCTCAGCATTGTGTCATTCTTTGAAGGTATAGTAATGTTTCAGAACACTGTGGCTGGAGGCATGCAATTCCATATATGGACATCCATTCTTGATGATAAAGTTAAATTTGACATATCAATCACCATTACATAGAGTAGAATTTATTTCCAATTTGTTTAACAACTTTGGTCATTCAGTACACCATGTACTGCAGATGATTATTGTGAATCTTTACTATTTTTTACGGAATTAATTTTACATATTGGTTGTAGGTGCCAATTCATCTGTCACAGCCGCTGTAGTTGTTGTAACTGGTCTCATTGGAGCAAATTTTGTGCAAGCAATGCTCGATAAATTACAGTTTCGTGATCCCATTGCTCGTGGAATAGCAACTGCTTCCAGGTGTGTGCTTTGTCAAAAACAAATCAGTGCGAACTCAGGCACTAAACAATATCTACAAGCATAGACTCTTCCCTTCATTAATTATACAAAATATAGGCAACTATTGTTCTCACAACTCACATGCATAGTTTTCATTCAGGGGACTGCAATAAAAATGCATCTGGGACCAATAATTTCTGATAGCAATATGCTTGGTGTTGGCCAGAAACAGGAAACTAAGTCTCTCCAAAGAAACTTGAAATTGGTTAATAATTAAGCTATGCAATATGTAGAAAACTCTGAATGCTGCTGAGATTCACATTGCTGAATCTTATAAAAGTCAAAATCATTTTAGAGTTGGACTAGGCAATGAAAGATGATTTGTGTTTTTCATTTTCGGTTCAATTTTTCGGTCATTTTGGTTATAGCATACAAGAATTATAACTGTAAATTGAAAATAAGCAGCATGAGAGGATGCTCAAACTTTGCTCGCTGAATTGGACTTGATGCTCAATCTTGAGTTAAGCTTTAAAAATCCTACTCAAGTTTGTTTGTGACCTTGGTTATAGTTGTAGCATGTGATGCTGATATCTCAGTGTGCCTGTTCTGTTCAGACTACAACTCAACATACTCGGTCCAGAGTATTGTATTCATATCCTAATTTTGGTTTCTGGTGTGAAAATATTGCCAAGTTTTGTATGAGCTTTCCCGATCCTGCATTTATGTTTTTCGTTCTTAATTGTTTCAGTGCTCATGGATTGGGAACAGCAGCCTTATCCGCCAAGGAACCTGAGGCACTTCCATTTTGCGCCATTGCTTATGCTCTTACTGGTATATTTGGCTCTTTATTTTGTTCAGTTCCTGCAGTTAGGCAGAGCTTACTTGCAATAATTGGCTGAAAGTTCGGGCAGCTTTTGGTTATTGGTGGACATACAGTACACACTCCTTTGGTTGATTATTTTTGTCCTCCCCAGCATTATTTTATGTAGCGTACATAGATAATTGCCAACCTTTGTATCATTGACAACAGTGAATGGTGTATAGAAGTTGTTATCACACTTGTCCAAAAATTTCTCGCCTCCTTTCAATTGGATTTTTTTTTCTTGGTTATTCGGAGGCTCAACCGGCATGAGCTATATAACCTGGGTCATCCTTCCCCTTTTACCTAAATAAATCTACCTAGTAAAATGACAATAACAATAAAAGTCAGTGAATAGTGAAGTGATGTTCTCTTGTTGGAATGAAATTCTCAAGAAAAGAAGAAAAAAAAAGATGTCAAGAGATGAAGAGAGAGAACTGCTGCCAAATCTTACTAAGTTGACTGTTTCTGGTTGCTGCAAATTGTCATCGCTGCCATTATCACTTGTTTCACTCAGAGAGCTAGATATATGGCATTGCAACGTGACTTTATTAAATTCATTTCATAACTTAGCACTCTCACTTCCCTTATGCTCGGATTCTTGGATGAGCCGATGAGGTGACATCCTATCCGCATAGGATGCTGCGAAACCTCATCAGTACTGCTCTTTAAAACTTGCGAGTTCTACATCTTTGGAAGCTTGAACTGTTCGCTGGGGACTTATTTCCTTGCCTCAATTCCTCTGAGGGATTGCTTTTTTATTATTGTAATTAGCTTAAGAAATTAACAGAGCAATGCTTGCGAAATCTCACCACTCTTCGTAAATTGGAAATCCGATATCTGACCAAGCTTGAAGTGTTCAATGAGTACTTTGCTGGCCTCAGTTCGTTGGAGGAGTTGTCTTTTGAAAGTTGTACGTGATGAGGTTGAGTCTTTAGCAGGGCAAGGCTTGCAACAGCCCATCTCTCTTAAAAGAGTACTTTTAAGAAATTAAAATCATTGGCAGAAGGGATTCATCTCTCTTGAAGTTTTTGTCGTTATTCCATCGCAAAATGGTCGACCAATTAATTCAAGAAGGCTGCCTATTTTCTTACAACTAGCCTACTGAAACGTTCATGTCGTTATTTAGCAACGGAAATTATGTTTCTGTCTATATTCCATCGCAAAATATGTGGTCAATTGATTGAACACCTGATGTCCCTCTAGGATTTGTGCTTAGATGGGCTTGACAAGTTGGGAAATCTTGCCGGATGCCATAGCTCAATTCAGTGCACTGCAATATCTAGAAATACTTGGCTGTCCCACTCCCAACTCGGCATCGTTGCCAGACTCATTGGGAAACCTCATCAAATCACTGCAAACTTTAAAAATTTAGAGTTGCCCAAAGCTGACGTCTCTTCCAATTAAGTTCCAACATGCATCAGGAATCTCACCACCCTAAAGTATTTCAGTATTTTTTTTTATGCTGTCCAGAACTTGTGAAACATTGTGAGGAGCAAACAGGAGGGAACTGGTACAAGAATTGGATAGGACACATTCCAGACGTTGATATGCACACTGGTAGCTATGACTCTAGTTTTATAAGAAAGAGTGACGAGTTTTGAGTAAATCAAATCTCTTATGAAATGGGTATATAAGATGTCAATTTATTTCAAGAGACTTGGAAGTCGGAATATCAACTTTGATAATGGTGGCTTTGGAATTCGCATGCCACATTGCCATTTTTTATAGATAATTACAATATATATATATATATATATATATATATATATGTCAACATTTTTAAATTATTCAATTTTGAATTTAACTTTTTATGTGACAAAAACTATATATACTTTTTAAAAAATTAACATTTTCGCTCAATTTTGCTTTCGTATTGTTATAACTTGGTTAGAAGAGAAGAGAAGAGAAGAGAAGAGGAGAAGGATTGCCATACAATTAATCTGATAAAATAAATGTTCAATCTTGTGAGAAAAGCTTACTAGTAATATTTAATGGTATTTAAATATCAACTAAATGCTTGACTATCTGCCATGTTAGTCAACTCAGCCAACTATGCTGTCTTTATATAATAATATTATTATGAACTTGTAAATTGAACCCAGGTGAAGGAGTGTGTTATCATTGAATCAACCCTAACTTTAGGTTCTATAGTTTCGTTGTATGAAGATACTTTTTTAAGTTTTGATTCTAATATAGTTGTGATGAAATCTTTTAAAATATGTGCATTGTGAGTATTTTATATAAAAATTTCAAATAATTTATTTATTTTTTGTTTAAATTATTTTAAATATATATTCTATCGATCTAGGTGTTATGTACTTAAAATTAGCAACAAAAAAAAATCTTAATTTTCATGGATACCAAAAAAAAAAAAAAAAAAAATTGTTTGAATAAACAATCTACAGTTAACTTTTTTGTTTTTAAGGACTGTTTTGAGATTTGAAGAAAAAAGGAGGACTCCCTTGAGATATGAGAAACTGTTGCTCCAAACGAATGTTTCATGTTTGTATAGAGAGAGAGAGAGTGGACAAGAGCTTTCAGTTGGTGATGGCAGTGACAGTGTGACACAAAGAACTCAAAAGACGCTCACTTTAAGGTAATGAAAATAGCTCTTCAATTTTGGAAACAATCAAACTACCAGAAATCAGCTTCTTCTTTTTTTTTTTTTTCGAATCTACAAGTGTAAATTTCTTTCTTTATCTTTGTTATTTTTTTTTTTTTGTACAATTTATTCTTTATCTTTGAAGCTTGAGTTGTTGTTTTCAAGTTCTTTAGTTTGTTTCTTTTTCTTTTTTCAGTTAGCTTTTTCTTTATTCACCCTTTAAAGGGGTTTTCTTACAAGGGTGTTTTTTGTTTTCCTTCAAACTTCGTGCTTTTTTTGTAGATTTAATCTGTTTTTAATTTAATTTTATGAATGGTCTGTTTTCAGAGCTTGAACTCTACTGCATTTTTGCAACATTGCTCTTCCTTTTTAGGCACTGTACTTTTTTTTTTCTTTTTCTTGCTTTCTTATGAAGTATTGTGGGATTTGTATCATATTTCTGTCTTATAGATTCTCGTCTTGAAGTAATTTTGGTGCATATCGTAATGTTCTCTTTAGTCTTTATGATCCTACAGCATTGTACTGAGCTTTTTCCCTGTAATTTTCTCTGCTCATTCATGTATTTTTGTGGTGCTCTTATGCTTTCTTTGTGATATACTGGTTCAGCCTGTTTTTGAGTATTCTTACTTGATACAGCTTGCAAATAACTGCAATTTCATGTCTTTCTACTGAATTTGAGTCATGTCTTTCTTTTTGCCTTTTCTACTGCTAATGATTATGTTATGTGCCTCACTGCCTAATCTTTTCGAGTACTTCGCACTTCATCTTTGGATGATTCAAATTCCTCAAATCTTTTTTTCTTCCTCATCTTCATGTCTCAACCATCATATATGCAACATTTTGATTGGTCAAATCCAAAGGTTCTGTTCTGTTTTTTCTATCTATCAGTGAACTTGTAAAGTTAATTATGAGAATGGATCTGTTTTGCATATGTAGAAATTTGGTTTAGAAATGAGCTGGGTATTTCTTTTGTTATTAGATTTTCAATGCAAAACATCACAGCCAAGAAAAATTTCTGCAGTGAAAAATATCCTCATCAAAATGGTTGAGAATTTTGCATTTCTTACTATTCTATTTCAATATGCTTTCTATGTTTGGCTGGTTGAGTTTCTTAGCATTTGGTTTTGATGACGAGGGAATTGATTCTGGCCTGAATTAGCCAGCTTTTTTTTTAATGCTATTCTATTTGTTGCTTCAAGGAGAAAGTTTTGCATTTTATAGTGGTAAACTCCCTATTTTGCAACAAAGCCTATGGATTGTAAGTGGAATTTCGGCTGACTTCGATATCAATTGCAGTTGAGCCCTAGAATTTTGATTTTCCCGAGCAACCTCCTGATGCACGGTGTTAATCCAGTGGTTATGAAGATGGGGACATACTCTAGAAACCATGTGATACCAGAAGCAAGCACAGGTGCATCTGATTCAGATTTTTCCCCCTTTTATCCTGGAAGTTTCTTCTCTGCACCGAAATCAAATTCAGGTCCTGACAGAACTCAGATGGGTCCACAACCAGGTCTTCCAGTTGCACCCATCCGTTCCATATCTCCAGCTGAGTTAGCTAAGAGTAACAACTCAGGAACTAAGCCCACAGAGGCTAGGAAACAGAAGTCTGCCGCCAGGAATTCCAATCAAGTTCCACCAAAGTATTTGGGGCCAAAGCAACTAAAAAGTAAATCTTCCAAGAAGAGCAAGGGACAAATCACACCTAAAGCAAAACGTGAGAAAAAGAATCTCGATATTGATATTGGCAAAACAAACTTTGATTTACCTGGGGTTCCTTCTCCATTTTGTTCTTGTACAGGTATGCCTAGAGTTTGTTACAAATGGGGTGCCGGTGGATGGCAATCCTCATGTTGCACAAATAGCATATCTCAGCATCCTCTTCCACTGAGTTCAACTAGGCCTGGTGTTCGCATGGCTGGGAGGAAAATGAGCAATGGAGCATATGCGAAACTTCTTCTGAAACTGTCAGCTGATGGTTACGATCTTTCTCATTCCCTTGACTTGAAGGACCACTGGGCTAGACACGGTACGAACAAGTTTGTAACAATCAAGTAGAGATCTGGAACATTGGAAGCCATGTATGTATAAATTGCCAGCATGCTGCATACCTAATCCCCATCCTTCGGCTTGTAAGTTGTAGCGTATTGCTATATCCTATGGATGTGTTTATGTAGCTTGTAAATATAGTTCCTATAGTGCTTCCTGTTGCCTGGAACTTCTCTTAGAATGAACTTTGCATTCGGATGCATATCATTATTCAATGATGTGCTTGTCTTGGCATCTTGTTAGTGCTTCTGGATCAGTATCTTATTTGCTTACTTTATGTACAGTGCAGGTCAGAGATGGAAAACTTAAATGTGAGAATGTTGTTCCTGGGGATTATTTACTTCTTAGTTTGTGTTCTCAAGTTTATCAAGAATTCTGTCATATGCATTCTCAAAGAAATGTAGACAAACTGAATTATCTCTCAATTTCCGAGACCTTTTCCTTTTGCTCTGTTATAATAAGTTAAACACGTGAGATGGTGATGGAAGTGAATATCATCTGGAAAACGTTTTCTGCACGATGATGTCGTTTTCTTTTTATTTTCAAATAACTTTTTAACGTCCCATGATTCAAGCCCCATCACGACACCCTAGGGTTTCCCAAAGAGATCTTGGCAGTGCCCTTAACTCACTTCAAAATCTGCCAAATTGAACCTGACGTAAGGAAAACCGCTTTGAAAAGGCCTTTGGCTTCTCTTTGCTTGTAGGGTCGAATTTGTTTGTTTCTCTTATGCAACCCTTACCTAAGGACATTAATGCTGTCCTTCCAGAACTTCGAAGTAGAAGTCACGCCACGTCTCTTGACAACAGGTTCTTTAAACCCTTTTTTTTTTTTTTTCACACCGAAGGGGAAAGATGAAACCCGTGCATTATAATTAGGCCATTCATATTCTAAGAAGAACATAGAGCACAGCAAAAAACCAATACTGGTGGTTAAATTTGTGAAGCGAGAAAAAGCAGTTAAGGAGCTAAAGAGAAAATAATGCCGAGAGATTCCGATCTTGTATGAAATTTTTCAACTGAATTTCATCTGTTTTTGATTCTCTATATTATACAGATCTCCATAGAATTACAACACCAAATAGATACAGAGTGTTCTCAACTTCTCATTCTTATGAGGACCAACCTAACACCCAACTGAAGCACAAAAGAAACGCTGAAAAAGAGAAACTGAAAGAGGGTAACTTTAGAGAACGAGTGCCTTGTTAAATATGTAGGGCAGTTTATTAGGCTTTTGTGGCTTCTACCGGGGTTTTGGCCCTGCTGGTAATAATTTGCTCGAAGAGGTCTCTTATTTTTAATCCGACAATTGTTTGGAAGAGACCTGTTCCATTGTTGCTGCCAGGGAAATCGGCATGCTTCAACATTTGTTGGGTGACTTCTCCATAGAACTTGGTGGAGATGTTGCTTAGATGGCTTTCGACGTAGATGAGCTCATCTAATCTGTCAAATTGCCCATCCATTTCCAGTACAGACACCTGAGAACAAACAAAACAAAACAGATAGCATAAGTAACAAACAAATTAAAACTGTAGAAATTGAGCTCATTGTTTTCTCAGACCAAGGAAAGAATACATGGATCCCTTCCTACATTTTTAACCAAAAGAACAATTCCAAAAGAATCAAACTTCTCCAGCATATTTTAAAACAGATCAAACCTAAACATATCTAGAAATTTAGACCGCATACCTCATGGCCGAAATAAGTGTCGGGGCCATAAAAGAATTTGATGCCGGGGTAAGAGCAGGTGAGCTTCCTACCACATGGTATCCATGAAATAGTAGAGCCTTCGTCAAACAAGTAAACAGGGCTGAAGAACTCCACCCCTTCTTTCATTATCAACTTGACTCTTAAAACCTTCCCCTCGTCGTCTGGAATGAGTTGGGTTGGCAGGACTTCGATGACCGCATCAGCATATTGCTTTTGTGGATCTGCAAAGTGAAAAAAGATGAAATAATCATGCATTTCGATAAACATTTTAGGTTCAAAAACAATAAATAATATAGCATTTTTACTAGTTAGAAGGAAACATTACCAATATAAGCATCAAAATCTGGCTTGCGTGCTTCAATGCTAGCTTTAATGCTCTCAAGACTGTGCCCTCGCTCAGCCATATCCCTCTACAATCAGTTTGACATCTTTAGATAACAGGAAATGGATAAAATGGTAGCCCTTGATTTAAAGAAGTAGAAAAGGCAGATTTGCAGATGTAGTTACCTGAATTTTCCATGCAAATTTAACCTCATTGCTAATGTCCAAGTAGATGCTGAAGTCTAAAAGGTCCCTCACACGTTCGTCATACCTACATATTTCGCATAGATGGTGGCTATAAGTCCAAGCTCTTGCAAACACATGTTACTCAAAAAGATTGTAATAATGCATTGCTTTACCCTTTCCTATGTACAATTTGGTTACGTTTTGTGGACGGATGAGTCAGTTTTCATAAAATTACATCCTTCATTTATTGGATGCCTCGCAATTCATCCAAATTCATATAAAAATTTTCTTTATGCCTGGAAATCAACCTCGAGACAATAACAACGGCGGGCAGCAGAACTATAAATTGGAAAAAAAACCGTTCTGTTGAAGCTCCCTGGGGACTAGTCACAGTCCACAGAAATGGAGGGGGCTACAGTGCAGGCTTTGGGCAGTATAGAATTGCAATTCCTCGTCCTTGGAATTAAGATAGAGGAACACTTAACATATACTATATCAGAGGGTACCTAAAAAACATCTACTGTCTCAGGGTCGACAATATTCCATTTTTGCTTATTTTCTCAAATCATATGTGGTGTTCTTATTAATTTCTCCAGGTATGCTTTTTTGCTCAAGAAAAAATCATATATATATGATATGCGATATATAAGCATATTCCTATTTATGCATATTGCCTTCATGCCTTCATATATAAATAAATATATGAGACATTAAGTTTTATGAAAAAACGGTAAAAAAATAATAATAAATTTCGCATGCAGAAAATAACAAATTCAGTAAATGGAATCTTCTGTTTTCACTTTTCATTGAAAAACGAGAAACAAAAAAAATAAAAGATGATTCCAAGATTTCACCAACACATGTATGGCAAAGAGGGAGTGAGGGAGAGAAACAGAGACAGACAGACAAAGAAAGAGAAACAGTTATATGCATTTTCATTAAAAACGATAATAATAATAATAAAGGAAATTCAAAGCCGTAGTTTTACTTACATTGGATGCAAACCTTCAATTACAAGAATCTTAGGAGGCTTAATAAGCTCAGGAGGATCCAAGAGACCAGTAACATGATTGTAAATAGGTTTCTCAACAGCAATCCCATCTTTAATAGCCTTAACTTGCTCATACATGAGATCAAAGTCGTTGGCTCTTGGGTCAAGTGCTGTGACACCCTTTTCTTTCCTTCCAGTCCTATCTAGTGAGTGGTAATCATCTAAACATATCACCGTTGTTGTGTCACTTATGAGTGTGTTTGAGTCAGGATTGCCACCTTTCGGTGGCTCTGCTGCACCGCCAAAAACACTTGTTAACCTCCTCATGAAGGTACTCTTACCACACCCAGAGTCAGCTGCTAGACCAATCACAACAGTCTGTGTGTCCGCTGAGCAGGTTATCACAGCACTGCTAGCTCTCCTGCTTGTTTTCTTGCTACTGCTGTAGAACACTACATGCTTTTGGTTAAATCCCAAGTGGGTTTTTGCTGGTGTGGAGATTGAGCATGTTGAATTGAGGGACTGAGTAGTGTATACCGTGCAAACTGCCATCTCTTTAGAGAGCTAGCTTGAGAGGAGGGAAAGAGATGGTGATGAAACGAGTTTTAGCAATTCTATTCCTTTCAGCTAGCTTTGAAATGAGGACATGAAATGGATTTGTGGATACTTTCCCTTTGAGTGTCAGAGGAAAATTTCGGAACACAAATGAGTGGAGGAAAAGGTTTAAAAAAAAACAGATGGCAGTTTGTATGGGAAAGAAAAAACTGTTTTGGCTGGTGATGGGAGGCTGATGTGTCTTGTTTATGTTTTTCTGTGACTACCCCTAGTTTTTGACAAAGTTGAAGGTAATATTAAGGTAGGCATGGAGGGGACATGGATGGGTATATTTCTATGTACATGAGTAAGATTGTCATTTGGAATTCTTTTTGTTTTTTTTTTTATTCTGAAGACTATAGTGAATTTTTGTAGTATTTATTTGTTAAATAGATGAAATTGTTGATGAGGTGATGGCATTTGTGATGGACAAAAGTATGGAGAAGCTTGGTGGTCATTTGCTGCAGTTTGGATATTTTGCCATGCCACGTGTCATCAAGGTAGTGGACGGTTGAGGATGAGGGTTTTGGGGTGTGGAATGGAGGAGATATGGGGCGAATACCTTCTTCGATTCAGTCTTTAGAATGTACTTTTTGTGTGTGAAGTAGTGAGATGTGAAACTATATGCTCACAGTTTTGTTTTTGCTACTTAGTTATGTTTCAAAAGCCACCAGGCTCGCCATAAAATAGCAAAAAAAAAAAAAAAAATTTAGAACCTTAACAGCCTCAAGTTCACTATTTCAAACAAAAGTCTTTTAAAACGATGACTGAGAAAAGGAAAATAGAAATTTTTGTCCACTTCAAAGTGCTTATTAAAAGCTTGAGAGTCAATTGGAAGTATTTTGCAAGAATGATAATCCGCCGGTGTGAACATTTGCCTAAACAACATTACATTCGTGAGTGGTGACCACAGCTTGGCCCAAATTTGCTTACGGACCAATGGTGTATTGGGCTTTGGCAGCTATTAGGCCATGAATTGTGATAACCAATGGGCCCAAAACCTTGTGCCGCCAGCCCGTCACCCTCTTTTCTAGTGCCTTGGCGAGAGGCAGTTAGTTATTTGCCACTCAGTAATAAAATGAGCGCCAGCAGATTATCGACATGGTTCAGACTTTGGTTCAGTTCCATTGGTCGTAAAGACAATAACCTATCAACTTTTATTTATTTATTTTTGCAAAAATGCAATAATTTTATTAATATCAAATTTAGAAAAACTAAAAAAATATTACAAAAACTTTTATAATTTTTGTGAATTTTTTTTTCAGATAACATCCAGTTTTTTCATGGACAAAAAATAGAGATTTCTAAATTTTTTAAACTAGAATTTTCAAGTTTGGTTGATTTTGTGCAAAGTATCTAATCTTCCAAATTTAAAGACGTTAAACTTTCATTTAAAACAAACTGTATCTGAAAAAATGAATCCTATTTATGAAAATGGATAAAAAAAAATCTCTATCTGTATAAAAGAAAACAAGAAAAAAAAAAGATTGGCACTTACATCGATGACAATTTTTCAAATTAGAATTTATAAAGAGGTGTCTTGTTGGAGAAAAGACAATTTCACTTTATTGACATTCATGAGAGATTCTGGAGATGCTTTTGTAATTATTCGTACCATCATTCAATGTCGATTCTTTCCATCCTACAAAAGAAAAATGTTGTCGTGAGAAATTGGTATCACATGGATAAATTCGTTTAATAAACATCCTCAATCCATCATAAGCAAAAGCAAAAACAAAGTCCTCGTTTGGCAGTCCATAATACTTTGGTTGGAGCCTGTTTTTTTTTATTCAGGTATTCTTAACTTACGTTATCCATATAACTAATCATATTTAGAATCGAAAGGATAAAGTTTTACTCCTTTTAAAAAATATAATTATAAAATTCAAACTCCGTACCTTAACAAAAAATTCACTCGAAAACTAATTTGCTTATCATTAGACTAATAACTTATTCATAGTTAGAGGTTGGTTTAAAAAAATAAAACTATTTTGTCCGTAATCACACTACGGTGCGCTTGCTAAGCCCATTGGATGATGGGTGATTTTAACTACAAACACGCATTCTATTCTAAAAAAAAAAAAAACACGCACATTCTATCTTTTCTAACAATTTGTTGCTCGATTCCATTCACAACCCTAAAGGCTTGTTATTCTCAATAAAAGTAAATTTTAATTTGTCCTTCTCAAATGATGTAATGAGTTTTTTAATTTCTCTTTTAAGATTTTGTTGGTATCAATTATTCTTTTGGATTTTCATCAAAATTTTATTTTTCTATTTATTAAATGAATGCAACTAATAATATATATTTCAATTGATTTCCTAGAGTAATAAAAAGGTATCAATCAAATATTTTTATCATTCAATTATTTTAACATTTTATTATCGTTCACAATCCCAAAAAAGAAGAACTCAAGATTGAATTGAATAAATTGTAGTATAGATTATAATATTATTCAAGTAAATGTAGAAAATACATGCAATGAAATTGTAATACAAGAAACGTAAGGAAATGCAAGAATTGTTTTACAAAGAGAAACTATTAGAGAAGAAAATAGAAAGAGAAATGATTTTACTCAAATGATCCAAGATAATCCTTCTCTTCTCCGACCTCCCTCTATATATAGTTACTCTTTACTAACTAACTAACAACTTGCTAACTAACTCCTAACCATTTCTCTAATTAACTTTGTAACATCATCCATATCATTTTGCCATCGTCATTAGTCCTTCTCCTTATTGCCAAGACTCGTCATCAATCCACCTCGACATTGCCAGCACTACTACCTTCATCGGCATTGCCACTTAAATCTCCAACACTATTACCTTCATTAGCACTCGCCACTTAAATCTTCATTTTCCTTAATGATGTTATGTTGATCTCCTTCCAAAACCTTACCGCGTATCAATACTCCCTTGTTGAAAAATCTTATCCTTGATGTTAAAGTCCGGATATTTCTCTTGTAAATCAAAAGCATATTCCTAAGTAGCATCGGTAGAAGAACTATGAAACCGGTGTATCAAAAGTTTTATAGCAGTTGCATTACCCTATTTGACCATCTTCCGATCTAAGATAGCCAATGGATAAGTATTGATACTCATAGAAGATAGTAATGAAATGTGACCGATAAATTATCATAAATAGGTTTCGGTTGTGACACATGAAAAGTAGGATGGATTTGAGCAAGCACTAGGAAGATCAAGAGAGTAAGCGATAACTCCGACCCTATCAATTATTCTAAAAGAGCTTTAAAAACGAAGAGATAATTTCTAATTGGTGTGCTTAGCTATTGAACCTTGGCGATAAGCCTATAATTTCAAATAAATCCAATCATCGATCCGAAAAACTCTATTAGTTCTATATTTGTTGGCCATATTCTTCATACTTGCGTTGAAAATTTAAGCAATACCAAAACATCCTCCTTCTCTTATAATAGATGAACCATTGCTTCAACTTTTGAATCTCCTAGAATATATGATAAATGTAATGGAGGAGCATAACCATATAAGGCTTTAAAATGAGACATTTTAATAATAGAATGACTATTAGTATTATACAAAAACTCGCTAAGGATAACCATCTAATCCAATTTTTAGGATTTGAAGAAGTCATACATCGAAGGTAAGTTTGCGGACATCTATTCACCACCTTTGACTAGCCATCTATCCGAGGGTGATAAGTCGTTAAAAAATGTAAAGAAACTCCTTGCAATGCAAATAATTGTCTTCAAAATTTACTTAAAAAGATCGAATCTCTATCCGAAACAATGTTACCGGTAACCCATGCAATTTGAAAACAGAATCCATAAATGCTTAAGCTACTATATCTGGCTATATAAGGATGAGCAAAGGTATAAAATGTACATATTTTGTTAAACGATCTACACCACCATAACAACACTCTTTCCAGATGATAGAGGTAACTCATTAATAAAATCCATAGTAATGTCTCTAAAAATTACTTATGGTATAGGCATTGGATTCAATAAACTAGGAGTAAGCAATGGTTTCATACTTACATTACCGACATATGGGACGATTATGAACATGCTCATGTATTCACTTGGACAACTCTTTCCAATAGAAAATAGTAGCTAATTTCTTTGTTTTTTCCTCTACCCTAATATGACCACCCACAATAGTATCATGGAATAAGTAGATCATATGCTACCGCAATGCTATATCATGTCCCACCACCAATTTACCCCTCCCGTGTAATTGGTTATTTTTCCACACATACTTAGAAATAAGTGGAGTCTCACCCTTCAATTGATCAATGACGGACTTCGGATAAGAATCTTAATACCATGAAGACACCACTTTAGGAAAAATATCAATAAAAATAGATGAAACTGCTAAAACCGATAATTTTGCATTAGGTAATCTAGATAATGCATCCGTCATTTTATTTTTCTTATCCTTTTTGTACTCAATATCGTAATTATCCCTTATTAACTTGACTAACCAAGTAAGTTAAATGCGATATGTAATCTCTACTCTAATAAATGTTTAAGACTGCGGTGATCCGTCTTAATAATGAAATATCTATCCGTTAAGTATTGATTTCATTTTTTAATTACAAATAAATGGAAAACAACTCCTTCTCATACACGAATAACGCTTAATGTTTTGGAGAAAATACCTTGTTGATATATATGATTGGATGACCTTTTTGCATTAAAATGGCTCCAATTCCGGATCCGGATGCGTTGGTCTCTACCACGGACTTAACGACCAAATCAAGTAGAGTAAAACAAGAGTATTAACTATAGCTTCTTTCGGTTATTGAAAAGAAGCATCCGCCGATGAACTCCATTGGAAAACATCTTTCTTAAGTAAATCGTTTCAAGGTTTTGCCGACTTCTCATAATTTTAAACAAACTTGTGATAATATCTAGTTAAGCCTAAGAAGCCATATAATTGTTTGAGATTTTTAAGTCGAGGCGACACTCGAACTATCGCAATCTTTTTGTTATTTGTTTGAACTCCTGTAGCAAAAATGAAATGGCCAAGGTATTCCACTTTTGGAGTAACAAAAGTGCATTTGGATCTTTTTGCATACAAAATATTTTTTCTTAGAACTAAAAGAGTTGTGGTTAAAGATTTACCGTAAACTAGTATATCATCAAAGAAAACCAAAATAAATTTTCTTAAAAAGGGTTAAAAAAATATGATTCATGAGACTTTGAAAGGTATTAGAGGCATTAGTAAGTTCAAATTATTTACAAGGTATTCCTAATTACCATTGTGAGTATTAAATGATGTTTTGTAAATATTAGGTTCAAAAAATCTTATTTGATGATATCCTCGCTCTTAAATCTAGTTTAAAAAAAACTATGCAATTCCTCTAAAATTTCCTCAATAACTAGAATAGGAAACTGGTTTTGAATGGTAAGTTGATTCACCCTTCTATAATTGACACACATTTACTAAGATCCATCTTTTTCTTGACCAACATCACTAGAAAAGAAAATGGACTAGAGCTAGATTGAATAATTCCTATCTTTAGTATTTCTTGTACCACTTGCTCTATAACATCCTTTTGGGTAGGAGGATATCGATATGGTTTCATATTAACTAGTTCGGATCCCGACTTCAAAACAATTTTATGATCATGAGCTCTTCAAAGAGGTAATCCCTTTGGTTCCTCAAAGATATCATAGAATTCATTTAAGATTGTCCGTATTTTTGTAGGTATTGAGTCCATAACCTCCAACTTAAACAACTCCAATTGATCTTTCCAAGTACTTAATAATTGGTTTAGTTGTGACCAATTTAGTTGTTCTTGTCTATCAATAACTCTATTCATCTTCTTCTTTTATTAGGAACTAATAAGCGTAACGCATTTTCCTTCTAAAATCAACATTTATCCTCGCTAAAAGAACTTCATCCATAATGACTTAAAATTCCACACTATATCTCCCAATCCATATAACCATTCTATTTCCAATATCATATCATAGATCCCTAACTACAATACAAAAACTCTTGTTTCAAATGCATTCTTCCGCATCTTCCACTTAAAGGAGTCACATATGAAGTCACACACAATCTCGGTTCCTCCAGCCAATTTAATAGTTATTAGTTTAATCTTAATCAGCCACATTTAATCTACTTAGCAAACTCGATGTCTAAGAAATTATGAGTACTATCGGTATCAATCGAATGTCTAAAATTCTTATTTCAAATGCATGCTTCGAATCTTCCACTTGATGAAGTCACATGCAATCTCGGTTCCTCCAACCACTTTAATAAATGATTTAATCTTAGTCAATTCACATTTAATCTGCTTAGCAAACCCGGTATCTAAGAAATTATGAGTACTACCGATATCAATGAAAATGTCCATCCCACTTCTTTGTTTCTTTCCTTCTTATGGTTTTATATTGACTTCCCTAAATACTACACTCATAGAGATTTGATATAATTCCCCTGTATAATTATCTTCATTAACATCAACATACTCATCTATTGTTAGTTCAACATTCCGCCCTACTCTTTCATGATCTTCCATTTCATTATCTTCCACTTCTAATATATACACTTGTCTTCCTTTGTACTTATGTCTAGGAAACTATTTTTCATCACAAAAATAGCATTATCCCCTCAATCTATGCTCATCTAATTCTTTATTGCTTAGGGGTTTCCTAATTTGAAATACTAAATTGTCTTTTTGGAATTGAGAAAGTAGTTTTAATAAACCTTTTTGAGTAACGGGGTTGTTAATAAAATTGGTAGAAGTTTACATATTGTTTGAGTTCTATATGATGTTTTGGAATGGTATGTTTGTATTGTTTCTCTAATTGCTCATAGGTAAAGGTCCGTTAACATAAGCAATTAGATTGTTAACGGTTCTATAATTGAATCTTGATCCAAAAATTGAGGTATTAAGGTTTATTTCTTGTATTTTAGCTAAGGAAACTATATATTTTAGGGGTTCTAAGCTTAAGCATATGTATTGGTAGTTGCAATTTAGTTTTCAAGCTACCTAGGAAATAAATAACTTTATAATATTTTGGTAAAGATAGTTTATTTACCGGAGATATAAACTTCTTAGATGAATTTAGACATCTCCATTTTGTTTCAAATTCGTTAATTTAGCCATGGGATCATTATAAATCATTTCTCTCAATCTTGTATTTAAGGCCTCCACATATTCCTCTCATTCAAGTCCGACATTTTCTCTTTTCATTCTAACAAACACTTGATGTCATTCTAATGCTTCTCCTTTCAAATGTATTAAAGCCGCATTTACTCTCGTTTTTCTTAGCATTCCGTGAATATCAAAAATCATTCACACCTAAAAACCCAACCCTCTAAACCTTCTCCATTGAAACTTGGAAATTCAATCCTAAACAATCTAGTGTTAGCTTGATACCTCGTATTAAAATCTCATATTCCTTCATTACAACTCATATTTCCCCCATTGATATTCACATTTCTACCATCATTGATCTCACCATGAACTCCTACATTAACATACTCTTCTGAGTCTAAAACTCTCTACCTTGATATAAATTAGCTTGCATATTCTTGTTAACTTATAGATTTTTCATTAACTCTTTAATTTCTACTATTTTCGGACTATGTTGATAAGTCATATCATCTTGTTTCTTAATAAGATCGGATATTACTTTAGGTAAATTATCAATGGATTCTTCCACTTTCCTTAAATCTCCATTTCCTTTCACCATTATAGCTCACAAGTGCCAAAAAGATACTCCGCTACCAATTGTTATCTTTTATAATTCCAAAAAGAAGAACTCAAGATTGAATTGAATAGATTGTAGTATTATTCATGTAAATACAAGAAATACATGCAGTGAAGTTGTAATATAATGAATGTAAAGAAATGCAAGAGAAAAGGTATTAGAGAAGAAAACAAAGAGAGAAATGATTTACATAAATGATCCAAGATAATCTCCCTCTATATACAATTACACTTTACTAACTAACTATTAACTTGCTAACTAACTCCTAACGACCTTCCCTAACCGACTTTGTAACGACCTCTATATCATTTGCCATCGTCATTAGTCCCGCTCCTCATCGCCAGTACTATCATCAATCCACCGCAAGCATTGCCAACACCGTTATCTTCATCGACACCACCACTTAAATCTCCAAGCATTATTACCTTCATCAAGCATTATCACATAAATCTCCATTTCCCTCGATGATGTTATTTTGATCTCCTTCCAAACCCTACCTCATATCACATTCATAACATTTATCTTATCAAAATTTGAAAAGAAAATATAGAAATTAGTTTATTTCAATTATAAAATGTCACATCGTTAATTATTAGTTAAATTTATAAATTTTAATATGATATGATTGGAATTTTAATTATGATTTGGATAAAAACATATATAGTGTATTGAAATTATCAATTTTGTTATATTAATGTTTTAAACAACCGACACATTTTTTTCCCTTTACGTTTAAAAAAAAATATTACAAAAACCTCCTTTTGTCCTCCAAATATCTTTAATGACTATTTAAAAAGGATAGTTACGTTAAAAACTAATTTATATGATTTAAAAAATGGAAGATGATTATTTTTTAGTATATAAACAATATTAATATTCATTTCACTATTTAATTTCAAACAATTTTATTTTGATTTTCTTTTTTCATATTTCTTTTTCAAATTTTTAATTTAACTATATTTTTAAAATAGTAGCTAAGAATATTTTGAGTATATTAAGAGTATTTCTATCGAATCTTTAAAGTATTGAATAATTTTTGCACAATGCTTCAAAAGGGTTATTGAAATTTTATCTCTTTTTTTATATATAACAAGAATTAAAAAAAATGATGCCAAACCATGTTAATTCTTTTTTTTTCCTTTTATCAAGATTTATAATTTGAGTTTCTGTATTTTTATCAATATTTTTTTATTTGTTAAAAGTTTATAAATGAAGAAATATTAGGTCATGTGTGTGTTATCTTAATTAAAAAAATAGTTAATATGATTGAGAAATGCCAACTTAATTAACATTTTTTAAAAAGCTAAACGACCAAAAAACACCATAAACTTTTGGTGAATTAAAATAGATCTCTAATTGTTAAAAAAATTATTTTGAGTACCATAAACTATCTTCTTTTGAAAAAAAAAAAAAAAGATCGCCCAATCAAAAACATGACATGCATCCTGAAAACACGTGATTTGAAAATAATAATAATAAATGACAAAAATAAAAACCCAAAATTGTCTTCTTCTTCATTACTCTTCCTCTAGTCCAAACCTCAACATCGCTAATCACCACCACAACCAGCACTCTGTTGATCAGTACCATTAACACCATTGATGGTAGTAGTAATATAACCACCATGATCTTCCACGCAATCAACCACTCAACTCCAATATTCCCAATATTCCTTTTCAAATCTGAATATTCAATTTGACCTCAATAAACCAATTCAAGAATTTCTTCAAAAGTAGTAATAATAATAATAATAATAAACTAAAACTTGATTTGCTCTTTAAGATCGTATAGAAGTCAATAAAACCCTCGTTAATTACTATTCAACTTGCGCCAAAATCGATGTCCGCTGCAACAGTGGACGATCACGGCAACAACGGTTCTCTCTATCTTCTTGTTTCATATAATAGTCTTGATGGCAATTTTAAGTGTGTTTGATGTGGGTGGTGGGGAAAATTTTCTTGATTGCGGTGGTTCTGTGGATTTGCTTGATGTACTGTTGCACAGATAGAACAAAGAGACCAGACCTACGTGGAATCAATGGAAGGGACGTTTTAAATGGATATCAATGAAATCACAACAAACCTGCCAGAAACACCCTCCAAGTAAAGTAATTTATTGGTTCCCAAGAATTTCCGTCCCCAATTAATTCTGCTTTGGACTTACAATAAGAGATGCCGTGTGAATGACAAAATAGGCGAGGAAAAAAAAACTGTATCTGATTAAGGTGAAATAAATTGACCCCGTGGCCAGAAGTTTAATCCTAGTTCCATTTTAAGAGCCTACAAAAAATACCTCGCAAGTAAATAACATAAGAGATGGAGACACTGCCAGTTTTACCCACGAAAGAAGTTTTATGACTACCATGCCTATCTATGAAAAGCTCAAGCAGTTCCCTTTCAAAACTAAGCAATTAACGGCGCTTGGCAACGTAGTCATAGACAGCATCCCCAAGAGAAGTTGGAACTATTAAGTGAATGCTCAAAGCAGAAAATGGCAGAAGCAAAGTATGACATCCCTGTGCAGCTGCAGGGCCCTATATACAGAGTTTAAAAAATTAAGACCCAGTTTCCAGCGCTGCTGTCTTGTGGCTGCTGCCATCATGATATGGGCACACTGGATAGAGATGTGGCTGCTGGATGTTTTGTTTTCTAAAACGCCTCATTTATTTTTCAAATCCTTGTTTTTGTATATTATTTCTTTTCAAATCATGTAGCTGAATGTTTCCAAGATACATGCGTTTATAAACTATTAGAGAATACAATGGACCACTGCTAATATGCTATTTAACCTAAAATGTGGGACGGTTTCAACTCGTTCTTGTGACATCATCTGGAATCCACACGCTCAGTAATTTCACCAACGCTACTAGTTTATTTATAGGAAAAAGAAAAAAACATATAACTTTTTTTTCATATTGATGCAGAACAGCAGACCAATAAGTTTAATCTGAGATTGTATCATCAACCAACTCGCATAATAATCGCTACAAATAAATGAACATATATATATAACAATAAAAAGAGAATATACTAAACCACCCTGAGAAGCAGCAACACTTGAAAAACTGAATCCGAGTCCCACACCTAAATTCTCACTTATGCCCCCTGAAATACATATAAACTTTCTGCAGAGGAAAAAAAAAAAAAAAAGCGAGAATCCCAAGTCACAAAAAGAACGAAATAGAAAAAGGACTATAAAATAATAATATGCATTTTACAATGCCTGCATACATTAAGAAACGCTATCAAATCTAGGAACACAACTTTTATAGCATCCTGTTCTTTTCCGTCCTCTTATACAATACTCTAGTTTTAATGGTTCCCTGATCTTTTGTACTAAGATCAAGCATTTGTCTGTTTTCATAAGTTACTTCAAAGGTAGCAGCACCTTCAATTTACACTCCGCCTTACCACATCTCAACTCTCACTCAATCCCCACCACCAATCCCCCAAACCTAGATGTGATTTACTTCATCAATCCACAAACCAGGCCAATATCATACAAGAACAATCTAGCCCACATTATATCCCGATATAATTGAGAAAGGTGACTAAAAGCAAACCCTCAACACATGCCTAGAAATACAACTAGTACATTCTAGCCCACCTTTTATCCGGATATAATGTGTTGCATCTAATTGGGACAAGAGACTAAAAGCAAACCCTCAACACATGCCTAGAAATACAACTAGTACAGTCTACCAATAATTCTCACATCACATTAGTGAATGCAGCAAGGATACTTTGTGCTTACATAGAGTAGTAGATCATATGTCAACAGAGACACCACAAGCAAATGAATCAAATACAAAACATGCTTACAGGAGAGTTACATATTTTCCTTCCTTGCCAGATGGATAAAGGGCATAGTTGCTTTAAATCCATCTTTCAACAAATTAACAGGGGGTACAAAAACATCATGCATGTTGTATTGTGTGTGTGTGTGTGTGTGTGTGGTTGGGGTGGATAACAATAAACAAATGCAGAATATGTAACGATAAAGAATCTTACCTGAAGGACCCACAAGCTAAGAAGCGACTCTAAGCAAAACAGGCCAAAGCCTACTAGGTAGAAAATCTGCACCAAAGAACATTAATTCAGGACAAACGTTTGATAATAGTGGATGCAAGAATGAAAATGATGTAATATTATATCCAGAACAAAATATATCATATACTGTGATAGGATTCTCTCCATGCATACATGTCATGATGACCTTTAAGGAAAGATCAAAGGAGTAATGCAGGATATATATAAAAACCGAAAAAAAAATAAATAAATAAAAAAGTAAGAGAGAAGTTAATGGCAACGGTCAACTGAGGGGTCATAGGACTTCTCATGCCTTCTCATTTGTCTTCAATGCCTATATCACTGGTAATTGATGACATCCATACAAGATCAAATTTTTTTTCACTGCTCCCCAGAATTACTTCCACATAAAAGTTAATGTTTTGAAGCATTTATTAAAACACAAAAATGCATTCTTGATTATCAGGCTCTTAAGAAAGAAAACATCTTCAGTCACTTCTCTCCTCATTATCCATGATACCATAGATATATGCCCATGTAATATCACATACTCAAAGGGACTGTTGCAGTAGCATGAATCCATCTCTATTACTTCAGTTGTTGAAGGTAAAAAATACCACAGTTACGCATAAGTTAAATAAAACCATGATCAGCTAACTCTCAAGTTAAAATTACATGATCAGCTAACTCTCAAGTTAAAATTACAATATATCCTGACAACCAAGGGCAGTGAAATAAGAGAATTAAAATATTATTGTCCAATTTGCCCTTTTTCCGATCCATAAGGAGGCTGCAGGGGACTTGGTGCACAAAAGAGCAAAATTTTAAATTATTAAAAAGTCCCTCTCCAACAATTAATTGGTATTCTTGTAATAATAATACCAAAAACTTAATTAGATGCTTTAGCTTCTACGAGACGTAAATTATAACTCATCTTATAGTGAGAATGGGAAAGAGAAGAGAAGCGATATATGGGGAACAATAGTAAAATAACTGAAAAATGCTAAATATAAGCATCATAAATATTTTGAGTCGTGAATCATAATTGTCATAAAAGAAAATCAATAATTCTTGTTTTCTTGTCAACTAAAGAGATTACAAAATTTGACATTCCAGAAGACAAGTACCCCAAAATTCAGAAATGTTCATGCCAAGTTGCTTGTGAAAAGAATAAAATAAATGTCATGCCAACAAAATTTCACTTACCCCAACCAACAAATGGTCAGAGATGACATCAACTGCTGCAAGGATGCCCCTGCGGTTGATAACAAGGTTCAAAGCTTAGCATTCAGAATACAAGTTGTGACAATCGATATCAATATTATAAGACAGATCATCAATTTAAATTTTGTATTCTAAACTGTGATATCCAGCCATGAAATCAAGTTTAAGAGCTATAAGAACTTACGTCAATGACTTCCCATGGAAGACAATTGGGGGAGCAATAGCAGCAAATATACAGAAACCAATATGAATCTGAGCAAATTCATTGATCAGTAGGTTAAAAAAATGCATTAATTACAAAAATGATGCATTACAGTCATGGTTGGTAGATAGAGCTAACCAGGTAGAACAAGAAAAACCAGCTAAAGTTCAATGCACTATCCGTCCTGCAAGTTCAAAATAAAGAGCTGTTTTTAAAAATCATAAGCACTAATTCCCAAATCTTTGGTTCAAATATACATCAAGCAACCATGAATTTACTTGCCACCAGCACGCTATTGTAATCCATGTGGAAAAATTCAATGTTTTAATTAATAGTTATATTCAGAGTTCAATTTAGGAATTACGTAGATAATTAATCGAGTTTTCAGCTAATGGTAAGTTTGCTATCTTTTGTTTTCTCCTCAAATACAAACACAGATTTAAAAGGTGCCCCAGGCAAGTCTTAAAAGCATACAAGATGAGGCTTCAAACCAGTTTTTGTTACAAACTGTCATGTGGCAACTCATCCCCCATCACCTGCTTCAAAAGGTTGGGGACTATAATGACTACTAACAGAATTTGAAGAACCAACATTTACCATATCCTGCACCAAAAGATGATGGACAAAAATGATAGGACCTAAATAAGGAATAAGCTGTAATATCACCCAACCAACATGTGGCAACTTAGCTGGCTACGATGGGACATTTTATTGGGTTATTCAGACCAAAGACCACCTAGGTTAACCCAAATAATTTTATTGGAAAAGCTAATTTAAATGGAGTGATGGTTTTAAGAAGATAAAAAAAAATTCATCAAGATCATGGAAAATAAATTGCAAAAACTCCAGAAAAAAAAATCAATTTCTAAGTATTAAAACAGAAATCCAAAGAAGAAAATCGGTTGTTTAGGTGTAACAATGGAAACCCACAAAAAAATTGGATTGTTATTTTTTGTTGAGGGATTATTGGGGAGGTGAAGAACATAAAACCAAAAAGAAGAACAAATGGCAGAGCAAGGAGGCTTTGAAGGTTGTCAGCTTGCACACACACAGAGATGAGACAGAAATGGAGAAACCTAAAATAGAAGGCAGAAACTGTTTTATTCTGAAATGGCTATTTGTTTTATAGAACTATCCCATATAAAATGACTTGCCCTGTATAATCATTTGGGTTGACCAAGGTGGCCATAGGTCTTCTTCCGTAAGCAGATGGGCAACCATAAGCCCATACTTCAATGGTATTCATAATCTAATCCTAAGGATTAGGTGGAGAGCTGGTTAGTAGCCACATGACAGTACTGAAGAAAAAAGCTATATTTCAACCGTTCAACTCTAGATATGGTTTGATTTAGTATCTACCTTAAGGCATGCAACAATTTAGTGGTTCTGGAGGGTGGGGTTTGGTGGGACATGTTGTGTGCCACATAGCATCTTTGAAAAGTACATTTCAACTTTCAACTTCAGGTATGGTCCTTCAACTCAGATTTTGTAATAATCAATTAATAGATATACCTTAAGACAGGGTTTCAGCAATCACAAAGCATGAACAAGTTGTCAGTTTGATAGCAAACTACATCATTCAACTTTCAGACGTCTTAGTTTATTTCCTACCTTTAGGCTCAAGCAATTCAATTAGCTTTACTATTGAGTTGTCACATGGCACTTCAAAAAATAAACTATATTTTGGTCCTTCAACTTTAATGATGGTTATTTAGTCCCTATCCCCCAGAAGCAGGTAGACTGGGGGTGGAGGAGTTGCCACATGGCAGCTTTCAGTCACCAAAATTGAATGTATCTCCTGTTGCACCTAAAAGTGAGGAACTACCCTGACAACCCCAAATGCTTTAGGACTAAACTATAGATTGCCATTGAAAATGACATGGCAACTAGACCATAGATGGTCACCAAGACCCAGTCGTAAATAGTTTGCCACATTGCATTTTCTTCAAGGGTACCAATAGCAACTCTGCATTTGCTTCAAGAGTACCAATAGCAACTCAACAACTCATCATAGCAACCAAAACTAAACCGATCACCAGAATTAATCAGCCTAAAACTAAAGTGTAGTTTGCCATCAAAACTAAAACCCCATTTATTTACATCCTAAGGCCCCACTTGGAGAAGCAATGGCTAGGACTAGGTAGCCACCTCAATCCCAGGTGGAGAACAAAGCTCTGCTTGCTGTTGTGGGGGCTGGGCAACAATCACCACCAAGCAGAGTTCCAAAATCCAACAAGTATTGTGAATGGTGACTCACACACCAAAACTTTCCATATGGTTCTGCCAAAGCCTAAACTTGCAATTTGATAAGGACTCTGGGATTTTACCTTGCATCCAGACCGCAAGTCATTGACCTTATTTTTCTATCACAAAACAAGTGCACGGTGCACATTTCTTTTGATATAAAATCAGTGGTCAAACTCAATGCAACTGCAAGAAGTAAGAAACCAATGATGTGGTAGTCAAAAAGGGTACTCGCAGTTAACTAATAATGTAACCTGTTCTTTCCTACAAACATAAAAATCAAAATTTTCTAGTAAAAGAATAGGCATCAAAGCAAGCTCAAGCAAAAGGCACATGTGGTGAAGAACCAATATCTTCCATTAAATAGCAACTATATTCTCGTGATAAACTTATTAATTAAAACTCCAATCCTAAGGGTGATCTGCACTAGCCTGAACATCATGATTCTACAATTATTCTTTCAGTCTAGAAATTTGTCGATTAAAGCAATCCAATTCATTGATTCAAACATATTAGTTTCTAAGTCAGTCCATGCAGATAATAGTTTTCATGACATATTCGGAAAGCTTCAATCAGATAAATATGTAAATATGAAGGCATTAACAAACACTTGCCTCATTGCTCGATAAAGAGGCCTGTACCATAGGACATATGAAAGAGGACATCCCATCAGTGCATAGATTACAGCAAGGAAAAAAATTTTCACACCTGCATATCATGAGTCTTGTGAGATAATTCAAATTGCATTGCAGCCGTTAGACACGTTATTAAACACATTGTTAATAATGTCATTGGAGAACGAGCTTACCTCCCCTCTAATCCAACATATGGTCACAGCAATTACATTGAAGATAAGACAAAGAACTATACCTGCAATTGGAGTATCAAATGAAGATTAATAATGCTGCTTAATGGTAAGCAAGGAACTTAAAAAAGGAAAACAAAAATTTAATAGTAAAATTTCTTCCTAGAGTTGAATTTTTCTTTCATATACAATAACAACAAAATGCTTCATCATGATGAATGAATTTGAAAATAAGAAGAGCATAAGATGCAGAAACAGGAAAAAGCAGCCCAAATTTTGCTTAGAAATGGTATTGAGTAATTTTCATCATGTAATAAAAATAAAGGTAAAAACTGAATAATATGTTAACAATAAAAACTGGTTAACACCAGGATCACACAAAATGGATTGGTCAAATAGGACAAGTTTATGAACCACTGCCGGAATATCTAACATAAAGTTGGGAGACAACCAAGAACCTGAATCTTACACATTCCCTAAACATTTCATGGCGTCCACCCATACCTTCTTAATGACATTTATAACCATTTATGCCAATTTCTGGTTTTCCAGTGACAAAAATGCCTAGTACAGGATTTTGACAAAGGGAGAGTTGCACAAGCATTGTAAAATGAAAGGAGTTTACAACGGAGAGACAGAGGGAAAGTTTGTTGGTGTATATCAAATGCTGTATGAGAATTGTTCCAATGCTTCTACAGAATACATTCCCTAATATCATGAATTTGCTTGCCATTCCATGATTTTAGAAACCCTTGGTGAAGACTGAAACATTATATCTGTTAGATTGAATAGCACCAAAAGTATCTTGGAATCCAAGAAGAAAGCATATGATAAAATTTGCAAGATAGAAGATTTTTTAAAAAACAAAAATTTCAAAAGACAAAAATAATGAATTCCCACCTAACCAACTGGCAAAAGCCAAATACTGTAGCCTTTGAGCATTGATAGGTATTTCATTTGCTATATCATGGTGGATGATGGGAAAAAATGGTGGCCAGTTTTTATCATCTGGGGTGATGCCAGCTGAAATACCATATTAAACACAAAAGAAATCAAGTTAACAACTTGGTCAAGCATTCTAAAAAAACATAAATTTATGATTCTAGAAACAAAAATTTTCTAGCCTTCAGTCCTTACTTTTAGCAACAGCATCTTCTCTCCTTTTGATTTCCTGTTGATGACACAGTCAGAGTAAAACCTTCAATGCAACTTAAAACCAAGGTATAATAATTTCTTACTATATGATAAGTTAATAGAGCAGGCATAGAAAAATAGGCAACTAAAAATCAATTAACAATCAATGCTCAGGTGTATACGATAAAACCCATATTTATAATAACATAAACCAGGTCATATGCTTGCATATAGAAGACATTAAGCATGGAATTGGAGGGAGGAAAAAAAAAACCTTTTCCTTCCTTTTAAGATCTGCTTCCCAAGATGCAAGATCTTTCTCTTTTTTTCGAATCCTGCACATTCAATACAGACATCATTGCAGTTCAGAAATCTGCCAACTCAAGTGTAATTGTAAACAGGGAAACCACAAAGTCCATTACATTCATTGTATCAAGCGGAATGTCAACTGTTGCATCATTGTGTCCAAATCCCATTGGTTCATGCCCCAAAGGAGGAATGCGTGCCTTCGGCGCATGAGCAGTCGAGCCCTTCTGTAAAGGACCCAAGTAACACCATGAAGCACAACAAAACGAAAGGTCAGAATGAAACTACAAAACTAAAAGACAAGATAATTGCATCATCATATACTATTTTTTTCAAAACCAGTTCCATAATCAAATCAGACAACAGGAAGATCCGTGGTCCGAAATTTAACCAGAGTTAACTGGGACTAATTTATAAGAACTAAATCTCGCTAGAGACTATTTGACTGGTTTAACAGAACCCAGTTGACAATTCTTGGTCAAACTAGGGTTGAACAATCATTGACTAAGTCTGACTTCAGCCTAGTTATGTTGCATCAATTGGACCATAACTTGACCACTTCTTTCCCAGTTATTCTCAACAAACAAATTTTATTATATCCCCATCAAATAGATTTATTGCTATGTAAGAACTTAGTCAACAACTGCTCAACTCTCATAATATTTTAACATTCATTTAACCAACCAGCACCCACATTAAGGCTTTCTTTCTCAAAATTAAGCTCCAAAAGTACATGTTTAGTTACTCAAGCTCAGTGTATTAAAATAATTATTAAGAAAAAGGGAAAAATTAAAGAAGTTTCCATATCAGATCCAGATCAATAAACGAAAATGCCCAAACTACCCTCGAATGAATCGAAATATACCAAAACTAAACCAATTCAAAATCAAGAGGAAGCAGATCTGAGAAAGGGCAAAAACGGAAAGAAAGAGAGAGAAAGAAAGAAAATTACCGAGAAGGGATTCACTTCTTCTTCTTCATCGAATGGGTTAGGGTCGCTGTTGTATCGACTCATAGTTCTTGACTTCTTTCAGATCCCTAATTTGCCAAACAGGACGCAAAATTGTTGGAGGTAGAAAGTGTCTCTGTTTGTGTGTTTTCAGAGAGAAAAACACACTCCTTGCTAAGAAGTATCGAAGCGTTCAGGTGCTTTTAAAAAAGGGAAGAGAGTTTTTCGTTTTGTTAATTTTTTTGGCTTGTAAGTAACGCGGGATGAACATTAGAAATTTTTGGGGGGTTTCTGTTTGACACTGCAACTTCAAAAATTTACGGTTTTGTCAGGTTGCTTAAGTTTTTCAAATTTTTAGATGCAGTTGTACCTGGAGATGCCACGCATTTAGGACTTTGAATTAGGCCAGTGAGTTCATGCCACGTCAAGAATAGAGGTCCCATGAGGAACACGTGTTGCCTTGTTTGCAGACAAGGGGCGGAAGTGGAGGATTTGTGATTTTGTAATTTCATTTTTGTTTTGTTTTTTTTTTTTTTTTGGGAGAAAGTGATTTTGTCATTTCGAAAGTTGCTTCGCACCTAAAGTCGGTTGGACGCTTCCTAGGATTTTACGTAATTATGATGGATTATGGTTTTTATTATTAAAAAAAAGGATTTTTATTGGGTTAATTTCATTAAGGGGTTCCTATACTTAATCGAATCCCTTTATTTTCAATTTAATGAATTGCATCCTTCTACTTTTGATTTCATTTGCTATGGCACTCATCATAGATCTTTGTTTAAGACATCATAACTAGTTAAGAGAATGGACAATAATTAAAGACATGACACGTATCTCATGTATTTTTCTCGATTTTAAATATTTTGTTTGCAATTAAAAATAAATAAATCATTGTGTGAAGTAACATTTTGGATAACTTAGTGAGATTTTAAATATTAAATATTAATTTAGTATTTATTAAATTAAATGCATCAAAGATTTATCTGATTTTAATTTAACCATTAAAGATTTATTTATTCAAATTTAGATATAGAACTTAAAATATTTCAAATAATAGATATGATCAAGAAGAACATAAAAAGATACCCGAATTTATTTCCTTTGGATGGAGATAATAATGAATTGTTCTCGAACAAGACAAAACTAGAATTTTAAAATTTGTTGCTCCATTTGTCTTATTCTAAAACTGAAGGGAAAAATGGAGTGGGGAGTATTGTTGATATCTGCCAAATATTTGCTGCAGATTCTCTGATAAGTTAGTTTATTAAGTGCCTAACATCTTTGCATTTTCTTATGGTCAGATACACGGCAAAGCAATTAGGCGCCGTTCCATATTACAAAAGAAGGCAAGGAAGCTTTTAGACGCTCAATTTGTGGTTTGGCCCAGTGGTACTGGTCCTGAACCATCAAAAAGTTTGTACGCGCTCTCTCTCTCTCTCTCTCTCTCTCTCTCTCTCTCTCTCTCTCTCTCTCACAAGAGGTTATAAGTTCAAACCTTAATTTTTTAAAAGTTTTGATAACGTAAGCATCATGATTACTTTCCTTAGCAATTCACATTTTAAATAGGATAAATACATCGTAATTATATTAATTTTTAATTTTTTTAATCGAATACATGAATTTTAATTGTTTTATTTTGAATACATCAATTTAAAAAAAAAATTATCGATTAAAAATGCTTTTGTCATTTTTTTTATTAAAAGATTGCGTATCCGTCACCTCCTAAATTATCAAAATACAATTTTATCTTTTACCTTTTCAATCAAGTACGTGAATCTTAGTTTTTTTCATTTGAGTATATCGATTTTTTTAAAACTATCAATCAAATATTTTTATCAATTTTTTCATTAACGGATGAAATGTCCATTATTCTCGTAATACCAAATTACAATCTATCATTGTTTTTTGTTGGAGAAAAATTCTCCTCCAAATTATTCTTTCATTTCAAAATTTAACACAAAATTAAAAAAATATATATTACTTTTGACTATAAAACTCTAAATTGAATTTAGTTAGGTTTAGATGTAGAAATTGAAGAAAAACACAAACGTGAAATTTTTCATCAAAGAAAATTCGTTACTTGTAAGTATTTATAGAAAAAATTCCCTTGAATAAAAAGATAACAAAATTATAAATTGATATTCAAAGGGTAACAAATATGTCATAAATTAACAGAGAAATTAATAAAAATAATTGATTGGTATTTTTGAAAAATTTGTTGTACTAAAAAAAATAAAGTTCTTGTACTCAATTGAAAAAAAAAAAACAAAATTATAATTTGGTACTACAGGGGTAACAAATACGTCTCACTTAATGAAAATAATTGATTGATTATTTAAAAAAAAAAATTGGTGTACCCTAACAGGATATATATATATATTGTAACCCCCGTAAAAACCTTTATCCATAATGCGACGTGTATTAGAATAATTCTATATATATGTATATTAAGAGTAAGTATAATTCTCATTTCATCATGAGAAATTAATGCTTGAAATATGTGATTTATGTTAAATTAAAGTTATTGTGCTTAAGATTAATGGTTTAATTATTAAATAAATCAAATATGCAAAATCGGTGTTTTAAGGTCTATATTCTCGCCCGACTTTTGTGTGAATTATTTGAGAACTTTAGAGTAATTTTTGGGTCAACCTTAAAGAATTAAAGTTGTTCATCTATGTGTTTAATATACCTGTATACAATTTTATAATATTTGGACTTATACATTAAGAGTTATACCAATTATAGTGAGGGTTGTTTCGAAATGCATTCTGCTGGAATTTTGAGAGAAGAATCTGTCCGAATCTTGTGAGATTTATTTGATGATGTTAGAATGATTTTTGAGAAAAATGTAAAGAATAAAAGTTGTTTTTCTATGTGTTTACTAGCTCTATATAAAATTTCATAAATGTTGGATACATATAGAAAGAGTTATGCACATTTTAGTATAGATGGGTTAGGAGGAGACACTGCTGGAATTTTGGGGGAAAAGAAATTCCGAATTTTAAAAATGGAATTTCTGAATTATTGATGAAAGAAATTTGTCTAATTACATTAACCCAGCTTACTAATGTTTTTTTAATTTATCCTAACTTTTCTTTAGCCACCTAAACACTTGAATTAAATGCTTAGAAGCCAAATCATCACCTTTGACTTCCAAAACATGCCGACTTTGCCTTCCAAGCTTCCTCCACTTTACATTTGGCCTAATTAAATTTTAACACTTATGATACAAATAAATGTGAGGATAAAAGGTGAGTATATAAGGGAAAGAAAGGGTTAAATGGCTGCCATTTTTAGGTCAAAAATCGTAGCCATCCAGAATTCAAAAAAGAAGCCAAATTGAAGAGAGAAAAACAGCAAAAAGAGAGAAAGAAAGAAAAGAGAAAGAAAAAGGAAAAAGGAAAGAAAAAGAGCTAAAGAAATTCTAATCAAACTTAAAAGAGGTAAGTAGGTTTCATTTATTTTGGTTGATTAATGTCTTAAATTATTTTTTTAAGTTATTTTGTTAGTGTTTATTTCATGGGTTGTAATAATTTTCAATCGTTATATGCTTGATGCTTAGAATAAATCTATGTATGGATGCCTTGTTGTGATGATTTATGATGTTTATGTTACTTTGAAAATGTCCAAGTATGTGGTGATGGGTTAGATTGAACTTGGACCAAATTTAAGTGAACTAAAACATGTTTAAAGTTGGATTGGAATGAACTAATAAATTAGTGTTAATAAGGAGTCAATTCTGTCCGAATTTTGGGGTGTATATTCAAGGATTTTAGATCAATTTCTAGGTGAAACTTAAAGCATAAAAGTTGTTCATCTATGTTCAAACTAACTCCCTTTAAAATTTCTTGGTCATTGGATTCGTGTACAAGGAGTTATACCCGATTTAGTATGGATAGCTCTAGATAAACCACTATTAGGCAGATTGCTCCCTAAGTTTCAAAAATTTATAATTAATTGTGTAATTGGTATTTAGACCTAATTTTTGGATATGTTATAAATAAATATGTCTAGTATCTAAAATAAAATAAGTAAGATTTAATTATTTTTTGAAATTAGAAAATTATTTACTCGATTAGGAGTTGCCCGGTAATAAACCCTAAAACAAAAAAAATAGACTTGGACAAAATTAATAGGTTTGGAATAAACTAAATGAGCTTGGACTAAATAAAATGGAATTAAATAGAGTCAATGGGCCTAGGATAAATTTAATGGGCTCGAATTAAAGTAAATGGACTTGGACCTTCTTTTAAATATTAATGAAACTAATGAACAATATTAATGAGCGGAGATTGTGTTCCCGCTGTGGGTATCGGGATTGGTATGTGAGAAATCAATAAATTTCGAGTGTGGGTTGGACCATGAGTATGGCATGAGACTGAAGGGTTGGTACCCGAATTTGGTTCAATGTGATTAAATATGTCATCACGTGCATCATGTGCATAGTGGGTGGTTTAAGACAAGTCAATTGATTGAGAAACGGTTTATACATCTAGGTTTGATAACCTAATTGGAATAAGTGGGTATTAGTAGTCCAAGTACTCTAGGTCGTGTGCTCGCACTATTAGACGATGGATTTCCGCTAATAGTAGTTACAACGAGGGATAATTCCGTTGTAGCAGAAGATGATCCGAGGATCATCCGGATGAAATCAAGTTGTGTGCTTGCACCGTTAGACGATGGATTCTCGCTAACGTAGTTACAACGAGGGATAATTCCGTTGTAGTAGAAGGTGATTTGCGAACCACTCGGATGATAAATATAATAGATCGGCTAATACCTGTGGTACCCGAGATTAAAATTTATGAGTATGGTGGGAAGTCAAAACAACATTGCATATCACGTGCATCACCCCGCTTACCGAGCTTCGGCTCACCATGTTGTTATTTTTTTTATGTCTTGACGGAAAAAGACAAGTTGGTACGGATGCGGCTGGCTCCTCCTAATCGGCTTATGTGAGGCACTATTTATTAGTTTTTATTTTGTCCGTAAATTTAGGGTATGGAGTTCATGAGAAATTGAATATCGCCCGTAATGTTTTATTAATGTATTTAATTATGTTA